TATCAAGGACTAAGGAAACCTGTGTCCGTTGAAGGATTTTGTGTGTCCTGAACTTTGCCCATTGGGGTGCATGTGGAAGTGGGGTATATGATGTTTTCATAGTACTAGACATCCTAAGAGGGCTCTGGATGTGACTGAGCAGCTGCACTGGCCCAGGCACTCTGGTTATTTCTAGAGACTCCAGAGGACAAGAGGGCAGAGAGGAGTTCAGCAGGGTAAGCAGACAGTTGAGCAGGCACCAGGACAAGGGGCATGGGGAAAGGCAAGGCATTCCCCTGTGGGGCTGGCATTCCCCTCGGGCCCTGGGGCCACAGCAGGTGGTCTGCTATTACCTTGGTTGTTTATATGGTTAGTATTTTCTTTGCAGGGGTGGGTTATGGTTGACTTCTGCTTTGGGAGGTGCCCTCTTGTGGATGGCTGGGGGAAGGAGGAACAGGGACCCATCCACTCTGAGGTGGCAAGGCTAAGGAGAGGCAGGAAGGATCCAGAGAGGATGTGGCAGGTGGAAGGTGGGCTTGGGGGGTGCATGTGGGGAGCAGCACCAGCGAGAAGCGCAGGCAGGCCCGTGCCTCCTGCGTCAGCTCACCTGAGCTGGGTTTGGTTGGGCACAAGTCCACTCACTTTTCTTTCCCCTTGAAGAAGCACGTTCACAACCTGCTGGGTTCCTGTGGGGAAGGCAGGTTTCCCATGGCTTGGACACCAGCCAGTGAAGATTCCCTTTGCCTCCCTCTGTCCTCCTTGTCCCCTCTGAGCTCCATGGCTGCATGCAGTCTTGGTCCCCCAGCTCCACACACTTGGAAAACTTTGCCCTGTTGCCCTGGGGAGTCACTGCTTGTGGAACACCAATGGCCTGGGCACTGCGTCACAGCGAAAGAGGCCCTTCCGTTCCTCAGATGAGGCGACTGAGGCGCAGAGAAGTCAGAGCCCTTACACAGATCACAGGTGACTGCATCTGCCTGACTCCACAGCCTGGCTCTTTTCTGTATGGTCATGGTCAATCACTGACCACCTCAGTTTGTTCACCTTTAAGGTAAAGGACTAGCATGCCACCTCAGAGGAGGATGTCCTGAGGATTGAATGAGATCATCCTCTGAAGGGGTTGTCATGTGCCTGGTAAGTATTATGTTCTCATCAGATGTTCACTGTTTATGCCTTGTTGCCCAAAGAGGGGTGTGTGTGTGTGTGTGTGTGTGTGTGTGTGTGTGTGGCAGGGGAGGAGTTGTGGCTGGAGTCTCTAAAGGGCTCCTCTGTGTGGGAAGGAGAGAATTCATTCTGGGGGCTTCTGAGTACCCGAAGGAGCTCAGGGCAGAAGTTCTGAGGGGCACTTTTGTGCTGGGTTTCCTTTTGGCTTGAGATCACTCAGTGCTTTCTGAAGTGGGACTGCCTGAGGGGTGTGTGAAGGGGTTTCCAGAGTCACTGGAGGGACTTTGGAGAGGGGATGGATGACCACTGATGAGTATGGGGGTGTAGAGGGGAGTCCCATGGGGGGAGAGGCGGGAGGTGGCCTGTGTGGCCTGACTGGGAGTTCTGTGACAGCTGGGCCTACTCTAGTCTTCTGTGGCATCCCCAGGCCAGCATGAGGGCTAGGTGTTCAGTGTCTCCTGTGGAGTGACTCTTCTTGGCTATGACTCTTCCTCCTGTGTCCTTGAGCAGTTCCTCTCCACCGTGCCTTGCTGAGCCTTTGGTGGGCTCATTGCCAGCAGTGGACCGTGTGCTATCGGTTCAGGTCATGGCATGGTGTGCAGCCCGGGAAGAAGAGCAGCCTGTATTCTCCTGCAGGCAAGGACTTTGAATGGTCAGCGGCTTTGGGGCTGATGATAGGGATGTCAAGTGGTACTGGTTGTGCCATGGTATGTCTGTGGCTTGGGCTGGTGGCCTGGGGCTCAGCGTGGCCCAGAATTTTGGACGGCCTGGGCTCCTGCTCAGTTTCATCTCAGCACTGAGTCCTGTGCTGGCATATATGGAGGATATGCTGTTGAGAGCTCTAGTCTTAGTGGCAGCTCCTGGGAGTTTATTTGTCCCGGGAACATTGAGCTGGGACTTTGGGCTGGGCAAAGGTGGGCATACCAAGATAGAGGTCAAGTCCTGCCCTCCCATGGCTGACAGTTGTGTGGGGACAGCAGACACAGAGTGGCCTTTCTGCTGCTTTCCCCCCCTTTTCCTTCCAAGCCACCCTGAGATAGTCAGGCCCTGGGACTTGAAGCCATGTCTGGTGGCCTGTGGAGCTGAGCAGCTTCACGCGGGCTGTCAGCGGCACTGCCGCGGGCACGCAGCCCAACTGCTTTCTCCCCAGTGCTTTTCTTGTGTCCTTCTCAACTAAGTGCAGGTGTTTTCCTGCCTTCTGAGCTAGCTTTTCATTGCCGTGACCAAAATACCTGCCAAGAACAACTTAGGGGAGGAAAGGTTTATTTTGGTTCATGGTTTTAGAGGTTTAGTCTGTGGTGAGCTGACTCCACTGCTGAAGCAGAACATCATGGTGGAAGGGTGTGTGGTGAAGAACTGCTCAGCTCGTGGCAGGTGGGAAGCATAGGGAGCAAGGAGGAGCCAAGGACAAGATACAGTCCCCAAGGGCATGCCCTAGTCACCGGCTTCCTCCAGCCACACTCCACCTGTCTACACTTACCACCCAGATAGTCCATTCCAATTATGAATCCATCAAATAGATTAATCCTCTGACTAGGTTACAGTTCTCACATTCCATTCATTTCCCTTTCAGACATTCCTGCATTAGCACAGGGACTTTTGGGGGACCCTTCATATCCAAATCACAATACCTTCCTTTAAAAAAAAAAACTACATTGCTTTCTTTTGAAAGTAGTAGAAATAGAAATTTGGATTTATCTAGAAGAGTATAAAGAAGAAAACAAATATCACCTATAACCTTTTGGAGATGTGGCCATCAAGTGGCCACCACTGTATCCCTGGGGGTAGGGCCTGGCACCTTGCAGATGCTCAGTAAATATTTGTAACCAAATAAAAAGAATGAACAAATATATGTATCATAGAAAATTGGAATCATAAATTATATTCTGCTTTGTATCCTGCCCTTTTTGGTCTTGTGACATTAACCTTTCCCTAGATTAATGTCTGGAGTTTGCTATCAGGACTTTGATGTAACTTACTGACTCTTGGGAACTGAGCATTGTGCTTTTGGGATGGATGGCCAGATGTCATGTCAGAGACTAGAGTCAGTTCCTTGAGCATGTTCCAGGGTGGAATAAAAAGGTGCCGCTTGCTCTGTTGAGTTCTTCCTGCTCATCAGGGCAAGGGTGGCAGGTGCACCTGAGCAGCAGAAGCTGGTTTCTGAGAGCTGCTGTGGTTATGGAGGCAGGCGGGTCAGGGGGCCAAGGAATGAACTGTGGAGTAAGCTCCAGTTATAGTGCACTCAAAGCTGATGGGGGTCATGCTAATTGAAGACAGAATGCCTCCTTCTGGAGTGATGGATGGGGATGCTGGTGACTCCTGGGTGATCCTGCTGGGCACTGAGAAACAGTGTCCCTGTTGGAGAGGAGCCGCCTTCACTTCAGGTGGCCTCCGTCATAGCCTTCCAGGCTCCCTAGTCTGCATGGCTCCCTGTGCCCAGGGCTGCCTGCTTAGGCTGTGCTGCATCAGGGGCTGCGGCCTGCAGCACTGGGCATCTGCAGCTTGCCCAATGCACTGGCATTGATGAGGCCTCAGCCCACCTCCTCCTGGAAGCCATGTCCTGTGCTTTATGCCCCTCTCCCCAGCCCCCACCCACAAACTGAAGTTCCACTGACTCCATTGTTGCTGAATGCAGTGGCCAGTTTCTGGCCTGAGGAGCTTCCTGTTAGCTTCCCTGGTTCTTCTTCTCTGTTTACAATCTTCTTGCATGATCTTCCCTGCCATCTCCAGGCCATCTGACCCAGCACCACCACCCGCTAGCTGTGTGGCTGAACGTAGCTTACTTTACTTCTCTGCTTTCATGTCCTCATCTGTAAGGGCCTAATAACTAACCTACTTCATCAGGGGTCCCAAGGACTTCAGGACAGGATCCCTGGCTCCTGTCTTGGGATCTGGCACACACTCAGTGCCTCATGATTGTTCCCTGTTGTCATTGAGCCATTTATTCACTCATTCCACAAGTCTTTATGCAGAGCCTTTTACATGCACAGAAGAGGCAGCAAGGAACAAAACAGACCCAGGTATTGTGTACTTGGAACTTACATCCTAGGGAAAATAGGAAGTAAGTAAACATACATTTTGTCATGGAAAGCACAGCAGGGCACGGAGAGGGGAAGTGGCACTGTGGTGTGCACTACTGAGACCCAGCAGTGTGGCCGCATTAGTGCAGAATTTGGAGGTGGGAGTCAGGGTACAGCTTTTGCTCCCCCAGTTCCAGCTGTGGACCTTGATCAGGGTACTACTATTCTCTCTCATTAGCTGTGTGACATGGCTAGCTCTCAGCCAGTGTGTGCCTCAGTTTTCTTGTCTGTGATACTGGTGATACCCTCTATCTGGTAGGGGAGAAACCATTAACCTTATGAGGTCTAAACCCATTTCTCAAAGTTTGGTCCTCTGACCCTACTTCAGGAGTATTGGGAGTGTGGACGGGATATGCAGACTCCACAGACCCTCCCACTCCCTGTGCTTCAAGTGAGGTGGCCTGGGACCTGCATTTGGAAATAAATACTCTGGTGATGCATGTTCACTGAGGTCTGAGACCATGATCTACAGTTGTGAAGATGGGGTCCTTTTTTCCTGATGAGGGCTATGCTGGAATGAAGTTATGCAAGACGTGGTCACCCGGAAACACCACCTGGGAAGCTTGCTAGATATTCAAGTTGGATTATCAGGGATATTGAACTCTGCCCTTAACAGCTTCCAAGTGATTGTGGAGCAGTTCATGTGAGGAGCACTGGGTTAGACCTGTGAGTGGAGGACATCCTTCAGCGGGGATAGGTGCTATGCCCACAGGTGGTAGCTGTCAGGGGATGCCAGTCCCATCTCATTTGCTAACTCGCTTTCCCTCCTTCCCCTAGGATCCCAAGTGATGGTGGTTTACATGGAGGATGAATTGAACGCTGCGCGACTGGCTAGCACGGGGGCGGTGGTCTCTGTGCCTGCAGGTGGGCGGGCGTGAAGCTTAGGATCTCAGAGTTTCAACCCAAGAGGAAGCATGTCTAAAAAAGGCCGGAGCAAGGGCGAGAAGCCCGAGATGGAGACGGATGCAGTACAGATGGCCAATGAGGAGCTGCGGGCCAAACTGACCAACATTCAGATTGAGTTCCAGCAGGAAAAGAGCAAGGTGAGAGGGCTGGGTGGTGACACTCAGAGGATGATATTGCCAGGGACATGTGGGGAGGGCATGTTCGCAGGCTGGAGCAGGATGGACCCTTCCCCTGGGTCCCTCTCTCTCTGGGCCTCAACTTACCCCTCATCAGAATAATATCAGCAGAGCCACATAGAGTGCCAGATGGGACCTGTCAGACTGTGTGACTTCCCATGTTTCAGTTTCCCTGCAAGACAGGGTGATGATAGTGCTTCAGTGGGTTGCTGTCAAGACTTAGTACCACGTGAAGAAGCTGGAAGGGGCCTGATCCATACCACGAGTTGTTTTGTGCTCTCAGGGCAGGTCTGAGCCTTGGAGTCACTCAGGACAGTGGCTTGCTGGGTGATGGCAGACTGTGGGAGTACAGCTAGAGCAGAGCCATTATGTGTGGCCTGTACCTCCCACGAGGGAGGAGCCCAGCTTTCCAATCCCACAGACCTGGCTCCACCCTCAGCTTGGCCCCTGCCTGGCCTCACAGTCTTGGGCAAGTGACCTAAGGTCTCCAAACCTCTGCATCCTCAGCTTGCACACGGCATGACAATTACTGCCCAGTTCAAGGTTGTCATAAAGATCCCAGGTGAGATAAAAAGCCCTGTCAGTGTCTGTTGCCCAGGCACTGCCCTGGTCATTTTTGTTGGCATGGCTCTGACTTGGGTCATCTGAGGGCAGAGCCAGCCAGGGGCTCTGTGAGCACAGGAAAAGGTGGACAACTGGGCCTGTACCTGGGTGGCTTGAGATGTTAAGGGTCTGGCCTTTGGAAGGTTAAACCAAATCCCTGCCAAAGTCCCTGGAGCACAGGGGGTGGCTGCCTGGGAACTGCAGTTGGTGCCTATGTTAAGAAGCACTGGGGCCCAGGCAGCTGCTGAGTGTAGGGGTGGGGGCCACTTCTGGCCTTGGCCCTGGCTCCATTCCCAGGTCAGGATGGCTGCATAGAGAGCAGAGACTTGGGTCAATTTGGAGAGGGAGCGAGGAAGGCCTGGCTTCGGGAGTGTAGGGATAGATGCAGACCCCCTTACTCCTGGGTGTTCAAGAGATCGGACCTGGTGAAGTAGCCCCTTCCAGCTGTGTTTGCTGGTGGTGCTGACCTGTGCACACCCTGCCAGTCAGGAGGGGTTCACTTGCTGGGATCCTCTAGGGCTGAGAGCTGAGAGTTGAGTGTCCAGGCTGCAGGGGCTGGTCTGTGTGTCCAGAAGCAGCAGCAGCAGCTGTGGGGAAAACTGCACATCCAAGTCTGCTGCCTAACCATGAAGCCATGTAACTGCCCCTGCCTCAGTTTTCCCATCTTTAAAATGGAGGGCTTCTAATGTGTCTATTTTCCTGGGCCATTTGAGGAAGAGTATGACAGTCAATATAAGGCCTGAGGTTGTCCGTCACCTGCTCTCACTTGGCAGCCTGTTTCTAACATCTGGGCCTGCCATGTAGACAGCATCCTGTACCTGAGAGGTGTCATGGCCTCACAGTGACCTGTATGGTCAGGTGTGGCTTCCTGTCTCTGTAGGTGAGAAAGTTAGGGCTCAGAAGGAGAGGTGACATGCTCAGGTATATTGCCTGAGTCTACCTTGCCAGCCAGCAGGGACAAGGTGCCACACTGGGCTGCTTAAATAAACAGGGACTTATGGTGTCACCACAGCAGGCTGGAAGTCTGAGGTCAGGTGTCCTGGGCTCACTCATCCTGAGACCCTTCTCCTTGGCTGTGCTGTCTTTGTCTTCCTGTGGACCCACATGGTTTTCTTCTGCGTGTTGGTGTCCTTATCTCCTTTTCTTATGAGAACACAAATTGGAGTGGATTAGAGCCCATCCTGATGGCCTCATTTTAATTTGATTACATCTTTAAAGGCTCTGTTTCCAATATAGTCACCTAAAGGTCTGAGTGTCAGGAAAGGGTGGGGTCCAATTCAGTCCCTCTGCCAGGTCAGCACAGCTATAGGTGGTGCTGGTAGGTGAAGGCCAGACCTGTGGGAGTCCCCTGTCACCAGGCTGCCCCCCTCCCTCTGGGACACGAGGAAATTCTCACATGAACGCATCTTGCCTGCTCAAGTTCTCCATCCAGCCCCCTTGTGGCCTCCTCTGTAGGACTTTACCCATCCGGTCAGTTGGAGAATATCTGTTCAGAAAGAATTTGGCAATGTGCTCTCTCTGGCTGTTTCCAAAAGCATAACTGTAAATTTTACAATTACATTTAAGTGTTATTTTTGTATGATCTAATAATAACTCAGTGTTACATTTATAGTGTCATTATTTTAACAAAGGACCCATTAAACACTGCAGGGCAAGGGAGTGTGGTAACTGTATCTGTTCATCTTTGGCCTTGCGTGCATGCTGTGTGCCTGGKCTGGGTGACATGCCTTTGGCAGTGACTGCGGAACAGCCCGTGCCCTCAGTTAGGGTGGTGCAGGATTCCGGGGAGCCAGTGGCAGCACAGCACGGCACGCTGCATCAGAGTTCTTAGGAAACCTGCGGAGTGAAAGGGCCTGTGGAGGCTTCACAGTGGCCATTTTGGAGGCAGAAGCGAAAGGTATTCACGCAGTTCTGAGTGTCCAGCAACACCCGCGAGCCTTCTGAATGCCAGTCGAGGACCAGGCTAGTGGGGCAGTGTTCCTGACCTAGAGAGGCCCACCGTCTGGGGTGATGTATAGAGAGGGTCAGTGTGCCAGGCAACAGCCCCTCACCAGCTGGGCATTTCTTCATTCTCGCTGTGACCAGCACACTTTGGTCTGGATTTGTGCTGGGCCAGGCACTTATCTGAAGTGAGAAGAAGTGAGTTGGACCTCAGCCTGTCCTCAAAGGCTGCTGACTTCTGTGGTGGTGGGGGGAAGGCTTGGTATTTGGGTATATCCTGAGTAGTGATGGAGTAGATTGTGTTGGGCACTGGAGCCTAGGGAGGTGCTGACCCTGGGACTGAGGAAGCCTTCCTGCCCTGCTGAGTTTGGAGGGAAGGTGAGGGGAGGTCCCCAGATGAGGGGCCAGCTTGCAGGAAACTAGGGCACATCTGGGGTGGGAGCCCACAACTCCTGTTGCTGTTGTGGAGGCTGTAAGGGAGGCTGTTGTTATTTGTGACCTCTACCAGTGGTTCAAACTTCCACTTTTTCCTTAGCTCAGTCCTGAACCAGTTATCAAGTACCGGCTGTGTACCTATCTTTGTCTGAGAAGCAGCAATTCAGTGACTCCGGGTCCTCTCCTGGGGCTTGCGCAGGGAACAAACACCAGGAGATTCTTATACTTTTAACTGAGTAGTGGGACGTACCCAGAAGAAATAGCAGCAGGAGCAGGGGTGGACAGTGGTGGGTTCTGGAGTGGCCTGTTGGAAGGTGTTGTCAGCCAAGGGTTCAGGGGAGGTGCCACTAAGTGTGGTGGGTGGGCTGGAAGAACAGACAGGCATGCCAAAGGCGTATCTCAAGGAGTCCAGGCTGCAGCAGGCAGTGGTGTGGCCGGAGCCGGATGATTATGGCCAAGGGTAGGAGATGGATCAGAAGAACACAAGGCTCAGTCCTGTGGGCCGGGGAGGACTTAGGCTTGAGTTTCAAGTACTATGGACCTCCTGATGATTTCTTTTTTTTTTTGCTTATTCTATTTTACATTTTTCTTGTGTGTTTAGTCATTTTAGTGTGTCAGTCTGGACTCATGGATACGTGGGCTGCATTCTGGATATAAACCAACAGCCTCTTTGTTCTGTGGCTCAGGCTGTCCCAGCTTTGGCTGTGGTGCCTGTGTGCCTGTGATACCCCCATCATTGTGGAGGTTTTGGTTGATTTTGTTTGTGTTTTTAGCTCTTATTTTATGGTGTTCATATTGCATACTTCCTGCCCCCATCCTGGAATCTGCCATTTCTCCCGGAGCCCTGGCTCCAATTATGGGAGAATGGTGTTAGACACCAGGATCTGGGCACTGGTGTGCTTGCAGCCATGGGAGTGCCCCTCTTTTAGACCCTCTCAGCCAAGAGCTAGGAGAGGTGTGCTATGTGTACGTACACGTTATCTGTAAATGCTTCTGCCTGTGGCATCTGTGACTGCATGAACTTAAACCTGAGTTCTTGCTGATGTCCCAACACTAGCTCATGGCCATATGCATCATTCCAGCCCCTTCTTTCTTGTCTGAAGCCCCCTACTCCCAACAGTGAGAAGCCAGCTTCCCCCATTCTCCATCCACTCTCTTAGTTGTCCTGCACACATACACATCGTAGTTCCAGAAGAATGAGCCTGCACCCTGTGTGATCTGGAAGGCCTGCAGTAATGAAGGTGTGTGACTCCATCCTGCTCTGTGCACAGGTTGTGGCGGGGCAGCCTGGGAGGGTTTCTGCCTGGGCAGGAGCAGGAGGTGCCAGCTGAGCTGAGCCAGATATTGCAGGTGCAGAGGGCAGGATGGAGTCACACATCCTCATTACTGCAGGCCTTCCAGATCATACCCTCTCTACCTGAGACTCACCCCAGGGCTTGCTCACACCTGACGTGCAAACCCTGGAGCACAATGACAATGCTCATGTATCCCCCAGTGACTCTCCACGTCCCTCCTTTCAGCATACTCTGAGGCAGCTGCTGATTGCTCTTCACAGACAGGAAGCCAAGGTTGTGGGAGATTGTGTAGTCATGGTTCTTCAGAGACTAGAACACACATGCACACACATGTTCTGATACTTTAAATAAAGAAGCATATGCATGTATACACAGGTAGACACATAATATTCAGAATGAGAGAGATGTTTTTAAAGCATTGTCTTTTGCAGTGGGGGCTGGCAAATCTGAAGTGTGTAGGCGGGCTAGCAGGCTAGAATCTCCAACAGGGCTGATGTTGCAGTCCAGGGAGTCTGAAACTGTCTGGAGGCAGAATTCCTTTTTACAGAGAAATCATCAGTCTTTTCTCCCAAGATCTTTAACTGATTGGATGTGGCCCATCTGCAGTTGAAGGGCCATTTGCTTTACTCAGAGCCTACTAGTGTAAATGTTAATCTCATCTAAAAATACCTTCACAACATCATCTAGGGTGATAATTGACCAAATGACTGTTGGTGCTATGGCCCAGTCAGGTTGACACAGAAAGTTGACCATCACAGAGGTTAAGTAATCTGCTCAGGGAAATAGCTCATCATAGTAGATCCAGATCTAAAGGGGTATTATTCTTCTGACCCCAGAGCACTGTCAACACTATTCAGGGAGGTGAGGACCATGTATGTGGTCTTCTAGAAAGAAAAATGCCAGAAGCATTTTGTCCATGACCGGGGAAATATTTAATGTCTTGGCCCCTGCACTGAGTCCATCAGGAGGACTGGTTCCAGTGCTCATGTGAGGGGATCAGGGAGCCACTGGTTGCCTCATGTGTTTGATGGAAGGAGACGAGGGTCTTGGGTTTGCCTGGGGGGTTTCATGTGCTTCTTTTCCTGCTGTTATAAGAAAGGGTTTATTGATACCCAGATGACATGGTCAAACTCACTTATAGTTAACTTTACCACGGGGTGCTATAGACCAGGTGTGGTGTGGGGGAAATGCTGCCATTTTCTGTGGAGCAGCCCATTCATCAGAGGCAGCTGGTTGCAGTGTCCCAAGCCTGCCCTTACCTGGAATGGAGTTTTAATAAAGGGTTCTGTGGAACCAGAGTATTTAAATGAAAAGCACCAATGAGGGTTTTCTTAACACTCCCTGGGCACATTTTACAAATAGGGTTTCAAATGGCTGATTGGAGGGTTAGATTCAGAAGGGGCTTGTAGCCAGCAATTCAGGAGTCCCAGGCCCCTGAGGCAAGGGTGCCCTGGAGAGGCCCCCAGCCAGAGCGCACCTCCCTAGGAGCCTGGTCTCCCCCTTCCCTCTGCGCCACCTCTGCCCTCTCTTCTTTGGGTCAGAGTCTCTCACAGGGGCCATGGAATGGTTTTCTGGTTTGGAATCTGCTCAGCCTGGTGAGAGCTGGTGTGTCCTTCCTCATGAGTTCCAGGATGAAGGGGTTTCCATGCTTGGCCCTCCTTTCCAACATCCTCAGGTGGTTTTCCCCCTCCAAGGAAAATCTCAAAAATCACCTAGTAGGACAGATCCTGGTGGGGCTGAGGTGGGGGGTGTCAGCACGGTTGAGTGGTCCAGGGGGCATTGGAGGTGGGTACTTGGGAGGGTCTCAGGGGCGTGGGAGGCTGTGGCCAGGGCACCACCGGCTTCCCTGCCCCTGTCCCTGCCGACTCTCATGTTCTGGCTGCAGGTGGGCAAGCTGCGCGAGCGGCTGCAGGAGGCCAAGCTGGAGCGCGAGCAAGAGCAGCGGCGGCACACTGCTTACATCTCGGAGCTCAAGGCCAAGCTGCACGAGGAGAAGACCAAGGAGCTGCAGGCGCTGCGCGAGGTGCTCATCCGGCAGCACGAGCAGGAGGCGGCCCGCACCGCCAAGATCAAGGAGGGTGAGCTGCAGAGGCTGCAGGCCACGCTGAACGTGCTGCGCGACGGCGCGGCTGACAAGGTCAAGACCGCGCTGCTGGCTGAGGCTCGTGAGGAGGCGCGCAGAGCCTTCGACGGAGAGCGTCAGCGGCTGCAGCAGGAGATCCTGGAGCTCAAGGCGGCGCGCAAGCAGGCGGAGGAAGCACTCAGCAACTGCATGCAGGCCGACAAGGCCAAGGCAGCAGACCTGCGGGCTGCCTACCAGGCACACCAGGAGGAGGTGCACCGCATCAAGCGCGAGTGCGAGCGGGACATCCGCAGGCTGGTACGTCGCCCTGCACCCCCACGCCCACTCACAGCTTCCTGAGGGGTTTGGAGAACCCACAACACTCTGACTTTGTTTAAGGGTCTGGGGTTGCAGCCAAGTCCCCACTAACCCAGGCTAGTAAGGAGGCTTTGGGGTGCAGGTCTCCTCATTGGGTGTGGTCCTTGGACGGTCATCAAACCCCCGGAGCTGGTGTCCTCATCTGGAGGTTAAGGCTTACAGATAGGGTAGGGCTATGGTAAGAAAGTGTTGTCGTGGATGTGTGTGAAGGCACAGGCGTTCCTCTAATTTACTTTAATTAACTATCAGCTGGCCAAACCTCCGGTTGCCCAGGTGAGTCTGCCTGCCAGCTAGCTGTTGCAATAGCTGGGGAAAAACCTGTTGCAAATAATCAGATTTTTAAAGAAATCAGGGAAACTGTGAAGCTATGAGGTCTAGAAGAAAGAGCCTTTCTGGGGTGAACTGAAAGTCCCTGCAGCCTTCCTCAGGGCAATCTGCCTGGGGGAGGAGGAGGGTCTTGTCTCAAGCAGAGATTCTGCTGGGGACTGAGATGACTAGGACTTTTTCCACCTCTCAGGGTTAACTTTATCACCGGGTGCTTTCTTCATGAAAGTGGAAACCAGACCAGGCCAGTTTGCTCCATAGAATATTCTCTTGAGTTCTGAGGTGATGTGAGAATCCAGTGAGCCAAGAGGTAGTAGATAAGCTTTGTTGACATGGGAGACAGAGCATGGTGAGGGAGGGGCCCTGAGGCAGGCATGGCCAGCCTGCCCCGCAACACACTTGACTGACCCTGTGGGGTGCAAGAGGCTGAAGAGCTAAGTAAGTGGGGTTCTCCAACTGGACAAAGGACAGTGTTTACAAGGTTGCATCTTCAGGAAGATTCAGGGTAGGTGGAGCATCAGAGGAGGGGACCCACGCACCATGCAGACCCTGACCAAGATAGAGCCACTTAGACTGTGTTGAGGCCAGGGACTTCAGGGCAAAAGGGATCCTAACGATCCTCAAAGACAGCGCCACTCTCTGTTTTGGCAAGGTCATCATGCTTTCTTCCCAGGCCAGGATATTGCCCATTTCTTCTCACCTTCTTGGCATGAATGTGCTGACTCCCTTTTCTTGGTGAACTTGAGGGTCCATTTGTTCTGGAGACCTTGAGCAGAGCCACACACCTTAGATCGTGTCCTATACAAAACTGAGGCCCTCTGCTTGCTTATGTTCTTGGTCACCTTATGACCTCTTGAGACCATGGCTATGAGGTGGTGTGGAGCCACAGCTGCTGCTCTTCAAAGGTTGCTAGGCAGGGACAGTTCTTAGTCATTAAGGGTCAATTAAGAAAACGTCATAAAGTATAAAAGAAAAATGTGTCAAACCTAAAAGGCAAAATGGACAAATCCACAGTTTAGCTGGAGATTAACAGATTTCTGTCAGCAAGCCATGGAACATGCAGATGAGAAAATGAATGATGATGTGTGGGATTTAAGTAGCATGGTTAACCAACGTGAACCAAACTGACATAAAACCACATTGCAACCAACTGTTGAGCACAGTTCTTTTCAAGGGAACACGGTCCACTTTAATCAAAATGGTCTGCATTTCAAAATTTGTAGGTTGCCTTTAAATCAGCCCAGAGAGGAAAACACATTTTAGATAAAAAAGAAGAAATGCTGGAAACCAAACATCTAAGCTTCTATCTTAAGAAGAAATTGAAAGAACAGCCAATAAAACTCCCAGAAAGCATGATGAAGGAAATCAGAGAGCAAGAATCACTGCAACAAAATCAATAAAGGCTTAAAATTTGTAAGTTAATTAAAATTTATAAATTGATAAACCCATAGCAATACTGGCGAAAGGAAGACGTGACCATAATTTGCCAGTATAAAAAAGGTGAAGATGAACACCACAGCTCTTGCAGACCCTGAAACACCATGAGAGTACACCAAGATCTCGCTGCGGACGGATGGCACATCTGCAAGCAGGCACAACTTCCCCAAGACCCAGGACAGGGCAGGCAGAGCACCTGAGTAGTCTTAGACCTGTTAAGGAAATTAAGTCACTAATTTACAGTCTGTTCATCCACAGAAAGCCCAGACCCAGGTGGCCTCACAGGCAAAATTGTCCAAGTATTTAAGGAAGAAATAAAATGAATTCTATAGGATGTACTCTTCCTGAAAATAGACAGTAACAGACTCCACCTCTCTTACAAAGCCAGCATGATTTCAAAACTAACGACAACCGGGGGTGGAGGTGCATGCCTGTAATTCTAACAGCTCGAGAGGCCGAGACAGAAGAATCGGAAGTTCAAAGCCAGCTTCAGCAATGGCAAGGTACTGAGCAATTAGTGAGACCCTGTTTCTAAGTAAAATATAAATTAGGACTAGGAATGTGGGCCCAGTGGTTGAGTGCCCTGAGTTCAATCCCTGGTACCTCTCCGCCACAGAAAGATCCAACGACAGTACAAGAAATGAAAACATCTTGGGTTAGCTCTTACAAACATGTAATAATAATAATAAGATGTCAACAAATTAAGTCTAGCAATATTAGAAAGGCTAGTAAATCATGATCAAGTTGAGTTTATTCTGGGAATATAAAAATTGGCTTAATATTCTAAAATCAATGAATATAATTCACTAAGTAATATAATCAAGGATGGAAAGACCCATATAAATTAAGTCACTAATTTATAAGTAGGCACTTTAATAGGCTAGAAAAAGCATTTTACAAAATTCAGCTTCATGGTATAAACTCTTAGCAGATCAGGAGTAGAATGGAGTTTCTATCCTAATGAATTGTTCTACTGAAAACTTACTAATAACCTACATAATTATGAAATATTTAACATTTTCTACCCATAGTCAAGGCCAAAACAGAATGACCATTATCATCAATGTTCTGTTCAACATCGTACCAGCTAGGATGTCAAATGCAAAAACCACAAAAGAAATTAAGGTTTTAAAGATTGAAAAAAGGGAAAACTCATCATTTGAGTTTTTGATGCTTTGTGCTATAGAAAACCCAGGAGACCTGCCTTGGTCTATTCCTGCTGGTATAACAAAATACCAGAGTCTGGGTAATTAATGAATGAAAATCACATATTTCTCACAGTTTTAGAGGTTGAGAAGTCCCGGATCAAGATATCAGCAGGTCCTGTGTCTGAAGAGGGTCCAGCAGCCCTGCTCCCAAGATGGTGCCTTGAATGCTGTGACCTCACACAGCAGAAGGGACTGCAGGGCAAAGGGGCAGGCAGCTCCCTCACACCTCTTGTGTGAAGTCATCAGTCTCATCACTTGCTGAAAGCCCCTCCTCTCAGGACCATCATGTTGGCAGTGACATGTCCACATTGTCATGGTGGGACACATTGAGATCATCATAGGAAAATACAGACTGCTAGTATTAATAAGTGAATTCATCAAAGTCTGCAGATACAAGGACAATACACCAAAATAAATTTTGTTTCTATATACCAGCAATGAACAAGTGGAAAATTAAAAAGTAGCATTTAAAATAGAGCACCAAAAAATTAAATACCTAGGAATTAATCTATTGAGAATTATATCAGATTTCTATCCTGAAAATACAACATTGCTGAGAAAAATTAAAGGAGACATAAATAAATGGAGATACTATTTTTATTTATTAGAATACTTAATGTAGATATCAGTTCTCCCCAGTTGATTTGTAGGTTCAATTCAGTGGGTTCCAAAATCCCAGCAGAGTTTTTTTGGTAGACATTGACAACACATTCTCAATGATATAACAACCGAAAGGACCTGGAATCACAGTCTTGAAGAGGAAAAAATTTGAGGTCTCATAAGACCTACAGCAAAGCTTACTCCAAAGTTGTAGCAATCAACACAGGCAGAAGGATGGACAGGCCAAAGGAACAGACGGATCCAGACACAGACCTACTCTTAGTGGTCACTTGATGTAGGAGTTCAGTAGGGAAAGGATGATCTTCCAGTAAACAGTGTTGAAACAGGATGATCTGTAAGGAAAGAAGAAAAGAATAGTGATGCCCGTGTCATTCAACCTCAAAGATTTGTCTATTCAAAGTGGCCATAGACAAAAATGAAGACACAAGAAGCAGCCAGGAGACTATTTTCATGGTCTGGGTGGTGAACACTTCTTAAGCAGGATGGAGGTGCACTGAGCACCTGAGTCCACTACTCACAGTATTGTCCATTATTCAGAAAACAGTGCACCTTGGACACTAAAGAATTTCTGTGCATCAGAGGACACTGGTAAGAGGCAAGGCAAACTAAAGACTGGGAGAAGATATTTTTCAAGATGTATACCATAAAAAATTTTTGTTTAGATTATAACATCAACTATAAAACAATATGAAAAATAACTTGGTTGAAAATTAGGCAAAAGCTTGAATAGGTGCTTCAAAAAGATATTTAAATAACTAATAAATCAATGAAAAGAGTCTCAAACTCATTGAATGTCAGGGAAACACAAAAAGTAAGTATCATTTTTATGCCCACTAGATTGACTATAGTACTTTTTAAAAAACCAGGTCACAGGGGCTGGGGATGTGGCTCAAGTAGTAGTGTGCTCGCCTGGCATGCATGAGGCACTGGGTTCGATCCTCAGCACCAAATAAAAATAAAATAAAGATATTGTGTTCACCTAAAGCTAAAAAATAAAAAAATTTTGAAAAACCCAGGTCACCACAGATATTGACTAGCATGGGGATCAGTGGGAACCCTCATATGGTTACATGGAGTAGCCCATGTAATCAGTGGCAGTTTTTTAAACATAAATTCATTTACCAACTCAGTAGGTCCACTCCTAGGTGTCTGTCCAAGAGAAATGAAAACATATGCTTGTTGAAAGACCTGTATGTAAGTATTCCGAGCAGCATTATTCCTAAAAGTCAAACAATGGAAACAAGCCAATGTCCATCAATTGCTGAATTGATAAGATATGGTGTATGTGCATATAGAATGCTTCTCAGCAATAAAAAGGGGTGAAATATTAGTACATGCTACACAGTGGAA